GTACTACACACACGACACTTGTTGTACATCTCCTCATACTTCTGATAGACAGAGTCAGGAAGTCCTAACATGGAAGTCCTTCGTCTGAATTGAGTAGGAGACATGTGATAGTGTTTGATATGAAGCTTGTAAAGTTCCACACTATCCTCCAGTTTCCTGAGCATCTTTCTGTATGCTGGTGTCATGGCTTGCACTTCACTACCAGGCAGTGGAATCGAAACTCGCCTAGGCTCAAGAGCATCACTACCTAGTTTCTCAACTTGACTTTCTGAATCTTGCTTACCACGGTTGCGCGGGTGCAGAATGTTTTGGTTCAATGACTTGAGGTTCATCTGAATCAATTTTGTCCAAACCTAACTCCCTAGCTACCTTATCAAGCTCATCTTCCTCATCAAGCTTGGGATAGGAGACAACAACCTTCTTTCTTGATGAACCTGATTGAGAGTCATCGACAACCTGAGGTTTCTGCTTACCTACGTGTCTTTTGGCTGCAGGTGGACCTACCTCAATCTTTTTCGAGCCTGGTCCATTTGAAATCGGTTTGCCTTCCTCCTTCTTTAAGGAGCTTGGCTTCTTCTGTACACCTGATGGCACTGAAGAGGCTGACTCAGGGTGAAAAAGATCATCAATGTTTCCACGAAAGGGCTTTGCACGATCAATGTCACTTCTGACAATGTCATCTGGGATCACGTAGTCCTCCTTGATCTTGTAGATGGTTTTGCCCTTCCAGAACTCTTCACTCTGTTCAGAAAACCTCTTCTTCTCAGTGCGCCAGTTGTCCTTGTGAAGAACCTTCTTCTTGCTCTTCTGGAATTCCATGTGGGTTTCTCTCTCATCAAGAAGTTGATCTTTTGGAATTGGAATTTTCTCTGATCGAGTCATCTCATGTAAGTTCATTCTCTTGTCCTTGTGGTGCCTGATGAGTTCACGACGTAGTGGATCAACCTGCCAGTAGTCACCAGTCACCAAAGCTTCTCCTTCATGATCATCTTGTTTGACAGCAATCTGACTGTACTCAAAGTGATCGTGTTGTGAATAGAAACTTTTGACTTGTGGAGTCTTGAAATGAACTTGGCTCATGTACCATGCTACATCTTGTAGGTCGAGAATGAGATGAGTACTAATGGCTGTCCTCAAAACCATTTTTCTCATGCCAATACGTGCACAGGACAAATAAGCCTTCCCTGGAGTAAGTTCAAATTGAAATCCAAGGTTTCTCATCTGTGGAAGTGACATCAACAATGGGACATCACCTTCTTCGACAATGTCGAATTCTGTAAACTGAGTGTTCCATCCATGATCATACATGAATATCACGAGCTTCTCAGTACATTTTGATTGTTGTGAGTTTGCAAAGAAGAATCTTGAACTTGTTGGCTGAATTTCATACCAGAGTCCACTGTTGGGATGTGAGTCAACAAATCTGCAAAATGCTTCAACTGCTCGTCGGGAGCCCATAGCTCTTGTGCATCCAAGATCCAGAATACACACAGTTGGTGGTGCAGAATTCTCTGTGTGAAAAGCTAGTCCATTCTCACATGCCAGATCAGTTTGTACAGTATGAAATGAAAAAGCACTCTGCTGTGATGGTTCCTCTATCTCTGTAGAGCATCCATGTGAAAACAATGATGTGCTTTCTGCCAATGGCTTCCATGAAGCCTCACCTTCTTGAAGACCAACTTGCCTGGGCACTACAGCTGGACGTTGTTGTACACCTTGTCGTAGTGCACCAACTTCTCCAACCAGAACAGGGAATCTCTTCATTTCTCTCCTGTTTTGATGTGCTCTTTCATCACGTTGGTTCTGTCCTCCACGACGAGTACGTCGTTGTTCATCTTGTGCTGCAAACGTGGATGTCAAAACATCAACACGTGCTGGCTCTGTCTCTGCAACATCAACACGTGCTGGTTCAGTTGTTCCAAATGAAAAGAAACCATGACCAGAACTTGAAGCTGCAGAAGAATAATGAGCTTGTTGAGTTTGTTGATTCTGTGTGGCAGGAGCTGATGTGGTCTGAGGTTGAACATAGTTCGACTTGCCTTTTCCATCTCCTGGCTTTCCTCCTTTTCCATCATCATCCTTGCCTTTCTTGCCTTTCTTGCCTTTCTTTCCTTTTCCTTTTCCTTTTCCTTTCTTCTGGAAGTATCCATACTCATCCATGTAGTACAGATCATCATAGGCCCAATAGCCTTCATTCCGGGTTTGATCATCGGCCCAATAGCCGTCATAGTTTTCATTCCATTCATCTTCTTGCCATTCATCTTCATAACCTTCTTCACTCACCATGTGAGCACGGCCTTTTCTTCTTCCTTTTCCTCTGCCTTTTCCTTTTCTTGATTTGAAGAACCTTCGTCCTCCTCTGCCTTTTCCTTTTCCTTTTCTCTTTCCTTTACCTTTGCCTCGTCTGATGTATTTGCCTTGGAACCTTCTCTGATACCATGTGAAGGTGGCGTCATCATAAACCCAGAAAACATCTTCTAAAGCATCCAGGAATCCTTCTGCGCCGTCTTCTTCATCTTCGGCCCAATAGCCGTCGGTTCCTTCTAATTCACCTTCATCCAGTACGAGGGAAGATCTTCTCTGTGCCATGCCAGAGGGTTGCATCAATGGATTGTCAACTGCTGTTTTGGTAGTGCAAAACATTTCCAAAAACAGGTCACGTAGTTCTTGAATGTTGTATCTATCGAGGGTTCGTCCACGATGTGTCATGATACTTGTGAGTGTGTTTCTCTGATCTTGACTCAGGTCAGCTAGACTTACAAAAATCAATGCTAGCAAATTTTCACCCAGTGGGAATGCTTGTCGCTGTACTTGTCTACGATCTTCCTGAAATTGTCTAAATGCCGCTAGTGCCAGTTCATCTGACCAAGGAACAACTACATGGGGTGTTCCTGAGGCTGCTGCTACATCAGCTCTCTCTTGTTGATCTCGTTCATGTTCTTGACGTCGTTGTTGAACAAACAGAATTGCTTCAGGACTAGTCACTGTTACTTCTGGAAGTAAATCCATCCAAGACTCAATAAGTCTATTGCCAGTGAGTTGAAATCTAGTCATCCACTTCTGAAGATCCATGGTTCCTCTGTTGAACTTCATGAACTGCATGAAACGGTATAAGAACACGTTCTGGGCACCTTTGATGAAATGAGGTCGTAGAAATCTTTTGAAATAAGCCACTCCTTCATAGGGATCCCTGAGTAATTCTCTATCCAATAGCCTCTTGTATTGTTGATCATCTCCTTCCAGTCTGTTGCGCAATGCTGGACCACGTTTCTCTGGTTCTAACTCCGTAATGTCACACCAGTCATCAATTGCATCCTCAAAAGCAAAGAAGCTGGTTCGCCCATCATAAGCTGGAGCAACCTTTGTGGTCATCTGTTGCGTCATATGAATCTGTGTATGCTGGGGTGCTCTTCTCATTGCATAAGAGTCATATTGGTTCCATTCATTTGCATCGACAATGTCGAAGTCATCATCATCATAGCCATGGCTTGCCATTTCTTGGGCTCTACCTGGAGCTCACCCTCAATCAGGGATCACTGCTCCGCTACCACTTGAAGAGGGGCCCTAGCGTCTACTTCAAGATCAGCTAAGGCGTCTTCCCCAATGACAGCACTCTTTTACTCTCAGCCTGTTGCCGGTCAGTGCTTGTCTACAGGGTTACTCTATATACCTCTCTCTTGAGCCTTGAAGGCGCATATAAATGTGCTCAATACTCATGCATGTACCTATGTAGGTATTAGGTCGAAACAAAAACAAGGGCGCAGCGCCTCCCCCCCCCAAGAACACAGGAAGAACAGCGTTCTGGCTTTGATCCGTTTCGTGTCGCTTGTGCCTTGTTATTGTTGTTCTCGTTGTTGTTCTTCCTTCTTCTTCTTGTTCTTGTGTCTGGTGTCGTCTGTCTTGTATTGTGCCTGAAACATTACCCCACATAAATTTCCTAAGGCTGGTGGGGGGCATGGGGGGGGAGGGCGCAGCGCCTCCCCCCCAAAGAACACAGGAAGAACAGCGTTCTGGCTTTGATCCGTTTCGTTTCGCTTCTTTTCCTTTGTGCCTTGTTATTGTTGTTCTCGTTGTTGTTCTTCCTTCTTCTTCTTGTTCTTGTGTCTGGTGTCGTCTGTCTTGTATTGTTTCCTAAGGCTGGTGGGGGGCAAAAACGACGACACCAGAGACAACAACAGAAAGAAGAAGGAAGAACAACGACGAGAATAACAATAACACGGCACAAAGGAAAAGAACAGAAAGGAAACGGATCAAAACCAGAACGCTGTTCTTCCTGTGTTCTTTGGGGGGAGGCGCTGCGCCCTCCCCCCCATGCCCCCCACCAGCCTTAGGAAATTTATGTGGGGTAATGTTTAAGGCACAATACAAGACAGACGACGCCAGACACAAGAACAAGAAGAAGAAGGAAGAACAACAACGAGAACAACAATAACAAGGCACAAAAGAAAAGAAGCGAAACGAAACGGATCAAAAGATCTCTCCCCTTGAAGGGGTGGAGGTGGGGGGGGTGGTGTACCCCCCCCACCTTGGATGGGCACAGCTGGGGGGGGGTGGTGCACCCCCCCCAACCTTGGATGGGCACAGCTGGGGGGGGGTGGTGCATCTCCCATGGTCTGAAGGTAAGCTGGGGGTGGTGGATATTTAGGCTTTGAGGTAGGGGATGGTGCGTTGTGCAGGAAGATGATACTAGCAAGGCTGGAGGGGGGGGTGGTGCAGCCACTTCTAGCTTGAGCGGGCTTGGAGCAAGGGTTGGGGGGGGGGAGGTGCACCTCCCCCTAGCTTGAATGAAAATGAACGCCAAATGGAGAACTCTCTTATTCCCATATTCCAGTAATCAGAGTAATCCCATCCCGGCCCATCCCCCAACCTTAAACACCCCCTAAATGGTCCCAAATAAGTGTGAATCCCCTACTAAACCATGGTTACTGGGATGTGTTTAATATTAGGGGGAAAGGATTATATTATGATATTTATTCCTTTGAGTTTGGGCAATGATGCAGGCAGAGGCCATTGCGTTGTGCCGTTTCTACGGCTTCACCCTCAGTTCAATGATGAGGTCGAACCCACTCTTGGGTGGCAGTGGATCTGCAATATGTTGCGGTAGACGATGGCATAGCTCAGGAAAATCTCCTGAAGAGATGACGGAGCGTGCTTCTTGATATTTGTCACAGTATGATGACGTGATGACAGAATGACATGATGACATGACATGACGATGCCTTCAAAGATCTGGGCAGGACACCTTCAAGCTGTTCAAGTCCAAGAATTCTCCACGTGAGGCACCCGAGGCAGTGCCGAAATTGGGCAAACTCCTGCCACCAGGTGTCGGCCTAAGCGTGTTTTCCGTCAAGAGTCAGCCTCTAATATGCATTTGCTCATGATGATGGAAAGGTGTTAAATTGGCACGGTGTTCTTACTTCAGACACTGTGCCGGCTTTATCCAAAGCTGCCCTGCAGTTTTCCATCGCCCGGAACAGACCTTCTTCCCACATGCCCCCACCTTGGTGGGTGCAAGTGGCATCAGTCTTAGTTCCGATAGATTCAGTCGGGACTTTCCACACTTGAACTTGAAACGGAAATCGGGGAATTCGTGAAATACTTCGTGCATCTTAAGGTTTGGGACAAGGTCCCGGCAACTACTGTCATCAAGAAATTGGTGGGACAGCGGAACGACGAGTGCCTGGTTCCCAAGTCCTAATGCATGGACCTCTTGCGTGTTCGAGTGCTGTGGGGCCAAGGTTTGATGATGATGTTTGTTCGATGCCTCCATCCAGGGGCTCTCAGGCTGGGAAGGCTTATGGTTTTCTTATTGGTGCATCGTGCAAATCTCAGCCATTCTCGGCCACCTACTAGGCAACTGTCAGATCGAAGCAAAGCAATGGCCACTTGTCTTGCAACTGCGCTGTGCAATGAGTGATTCAGAACTTGTCATGATCATTGTGCAATGATTCTCATTCCATGAAATGGACTTTCTGGTTGCCAAGGATTCGCTCGAGCTGAGTCAGTCCCCTCCTTTGGTTCAGTACTTTCGAAATTCCAAATCTGACTTGAATTTGGTTCTGTAAATACATAAATATAATATGCAATGCAGATGTAAACTCTGTCACTCGACCGAATGCTGAAGGCTGGTGACATTCGATTGTCACGTGGCTCCTCAAGAAGCCGGCTTTCGTCATCGCAAGAGACCTGGAGTAGTGACATGATCCGCTGATGCCTACCGCTGGAGCCAGCTGAAGGTCTGCCCTGTTGCGACAAGAGATTCAAAAAGCGGTGATGTGCTCAATGGCAGAAATGCAACTCCTGTGGATTTGAGGATATTTGTGGAATTTTGTGGATTTTGACATATTTTGAGGTTTGAAGGGCCTTGCAATCCCAACCCGGAACCCACCTGAGGTACTGCGGGAAGTTTCCCGATTATCTACCCCTGAAGTAAGCAATCCTGACGCTGCTTGCCCTCTTTCTCAGCGAGCAATCGGTCACTCAGGGTCCTTGTGATGCTTAGGCAGCAGCACGTATTGTGCTTTTCCAGTTGCTGCATGGGGCAACAAAGACTTGCTTAGTTGCTCCAATTCCTGTCTTATGATCAAATCACAGTCTAGTTCGATTCCCGTAGATAGATGCTGAGATACTTAAAGTATCCAAGTATCTGCGTGATGCTTAAAGCACTGCAAAGCAGTGTTGCACCACTCTGGACAGCCACAGCAGAAAACAGCATTTGACCTTTACTAAGCTGTTGCATGGTACAACGTATGCTGTCAGGCAAGAACTGCAAGTCTGGTCACAGAACATATGATGACATACAGCTGGAACATGTTCATGGCATGTAAAAAAACTTACGCGATCAAATATTGCAGTTCTTTTCCGCGGATGGGTTTCTGGGTAGGATCTGAGCCGTCCAACCTTGGAGGCTGAAACTTTGACTGGTCTGAGGCTGAAAGACTTCCCCATGCAGGTGTGCCCGAAAATTCAATGGTTGATCATGTTTGAGCTTTTTGATGTGGGTCATGTGCTTCCAGCAGAATTTGGCTTCGAGCCCAGAGTACAGTTTAAATTTGCAAGGTCATGTTGTTTTTTTGAAAATCAGATTAGATGCACTGGACATAGGCCCCACAAGAGCCGTGTGGTCCAACAAGAGTCGTTTGTAGACGTGGCAATTTGAACTTCCGATTTCGGAACGGACTCTAAGATCCACTACACAGATGCACCAAAGATCATTCTATTTCGAAGATTTGCATTCACAGCGGTGAATGTTGAGTTGGCTTTGTGGTGCTGTTGCAAGCGCGGTGCTAATTTGTTATGCAGTGAGTCTCCCGGATGCAGGGAAAATTGATGAATATTGGCGACATTGGTGATTTTTTACACAGCATTTGTGGCATCAGGGACCTGCACCAACCAAGGCTGGATAATCTATTGGAAACGACGCAACAAGGGTGATGCAGAGTTCTACGGACCAGTGGATTGCTGGATTCAAATCCTGACGCGGTTTCCATTTTTGGTGCTTGGAAGCGGAATCGTTGTGCCTGCCGCACTTGGTTTTCATGGTCTGCAACAATGTGGATTCAATCCACCCATCAACATGGACTTCGCCAGCTACCTGGCTGTGGATCTTCAAATTCAATTCACTTATGATTGTGTGCAGGAGCCACATAGGGCCGAGTCAATTCGCCAGGATCGTTTCGATTTTACCTGATCATCATCATCATCATCATCATCATCATCATCGCCATCACCATTTGCAGTTCGCTAGTGTTTTGAACATTGCAAATTTGACAAAGCATGTTTCATAGCCAGTGTCGGTGTCGCTGCAGGAGACAATCAAAGGCGAAACATCAAAAAGGGGTAATCGTCGGCGACAAGTTTCCAAGTGGTCTGGGCAACTCGATCGCAGATTCAAAACATGTATGTATATCCGTTATTCGGGCCATCCGACCACGCAATGTTTCAGCAGTTTTTGTGGTGTATTGGGGTTTGGTGCATTTTCTTCAGGTGGCACTTTCCGCAGCTGAGTCATGCCAATGAGCTGGGCGGTCATGTTTCTAATACGAGCGCGAATACAGGTGCCTGTAACAAATTTGTGCGGGGTCAACCGCAATCTTGTCAAAATGTTTTGACTAAAACAACGGCTTCACTCCGCCGTTGAACAGTGTGAAATATCTGTACAAATGTTTGTTTTCTGGTTTAAATTGTGTTTTACCCTGCACTAGCGGATTCCTTGTCAAAACAGGGTCGCGAGCACAATTTCTTGTGTGGTGCGACAGCAGATTGACCGGTTTCCAAGCGAAACATCAATTAAGGTTCAACTGTTGGTAGGAAATAGATGACACTGACAAAAGATTCAAATGCAGACCATTCTTGGTAATTTGGCCCATCGCAGGTGATATGGATGGACGACGTCTCTCCCAGCAACAGTCAAAAGCCTGGCGGAGCTTGGAGGTTTTCTATGAGGCACTTGCAATCTTTTGGAAGGTTTTAGCTTGGCGTCTTGGACCCATGTTGCAAAAACTGCAGGCAGTTGACACTCAAGCCGGGATCTTTACAGAGAATGCCCTCACAGATGCTTTGGAGCACGTTTGGATTTTGGTGCAATGTTTGCAGTATTCTTGGACATGTTTTTCACCATGACCCAAAGAAAAGCAATCTCACAGGCGGCTGTTTACAGTATCTGGATACAGTATACCTTGTAGTTTTATGGTTTGAGGTTATTATCCAAAACCAAATTTGTATAAATATTAATTGTTATTCCAGGGTCTCAAAACAACTGAACTCAACATGTTTCGCGCGATTCATGGAGATTTTCCGCTTGGCAACAACAACTCCTAGATCGGCTTCTGACCGGCTTCCTTGCATGAGGTAGCGACAGTAGTGTGATTGTTACACACAGCGATCAAACCTTCCAGAAGCTCAGGACATTCTTCTCTTCGAGGAGCTTGTTCAGTCATTTAGAACCTACAATGAATACTGTCTAGTGGAAGATGGCCAATGCAAGGTGGCTCCGAAGCAGTGGTTGTTCTGTCTCAGTGGCAAAATCTTCAACTTTGATTCGATGAGTGAACTTCAGGGTCTGTATAGGGAGCACGGTCAAATCTTCCCTGACCTGTTGCAGGGTCCTGCCTCTCCAACCGCATTTTTCTTCGAAGCAAAGTGAGCAGCTTGAGTGAGAGTCTACTGCTTTGCAGAAACGAATCATAACAGGTCTACTGCTTTTCTTGTGTTTGTAAGGCCAGAGTCCCAAGATGAGTGGACTTTGAGGGACATCAATGCTACACTTGTGTTTGTAAGGCCAGAGTCCCAAGATGAGTGGACTTTGAGGGACATCAATGCTACATTGCGAGCTATGCTAAGGTTCGGTGTTCAGGGGTTCTGAAGCTTTGAAAAATCGAAATTCCATGAAATTCCCACAGTCAACACGAAGATGGTCAATGCTTTGGAGTACTCTGTCGCAGTCGCCTGTCATCTAGTGTTTCGCCAGGGAAGGCATCCTTGGGTTCACTGACAAAGACTTCAATGCGCTGAACCTCAAGAGTGGCTACACGAGAGCAACCTTCCGGGGTGGATGCCCCTTGAATGGCTATACATCGTGGAAAGACAGGCTCCCCCCACTCCACTGCATTTACTGCATTTTGCAATTATATTTTGATATTGTCACTGGATACCTCCATTCCTTGCAGCAGGTGGAGTGAACAGCTCTTCAAGCACGAAGAGTTCCTCAGACAGCTTTTTGAGCAGGTGCTTGCACTGTGCAGGGTGAGACTGATGCATATCGAACCATGTCGAACTACATTGCAGTATCGTGCGAATACCAGCGCTTCCGACATCCAAATTGAGTTCAAGCGTCCAAGCCTTTCTTGCAGGTTCTCAGCCGTGCCGATGAAATCGGCGGAAACAAGCTGCGATTTGACCATGTCGTCTTCACCTGGTATGAGCCATCACTGAAGGTATACGAAGCTTCTTGGCAAAGTTTGGAGAGCTACATACATGTCTGTGAATAAAGTGCTGTTGGCAATCTTTGCAAGGCATTCTTGCTGCCATTCTGTCTGCCTGCACAGGTGAACAAGTGGCTTTTTCATGATGCTGTTTGGTGTGCTGGAACCTTCGCAGCGGTAGCTTGCCTACACTCAGAGGAGGGAATTTTGCAATTTCAGGTCTCCTTGTGTAGTTGGCCCCCTTTGCTCAACACACAACAAGGTGATGATTTTGATGATTCTGAACATCCAGAGTGTCTTCCTGACAATCTTCGGCCTGCTTGGTGTGTTGCTAGCGTTCATTGCAACGTTCTTCTTTCACTACATTGTCATGGGATACACCGCATTGACAATTCTGGACTTCCTCTCCTTGTTTCTGATTGTTGGAATCGCAGCAGACGACATGCTTCTGGGCATACATTCAGATGATGTTGGAATATGTTGGACCTGGTTTGTGCAAAGATTCAAGCTTGGAATTTTAGTTTAACATTATTTTTGAGATGTGTCACATCTTCTACTGTGCCACCGAAGATAGTTTTCGCCGAGTTTCATTATGTGCCACACCTTCTACTTGGCACCTGCTATTCTTGGAGATCACAGTACACCTGAAGACTGCATGAAATGGGCCTACAAACAAGCTGGAGAGGCGATGCTGGCTGCGTCCTGAGCAAGGCTCTGGATCCACGGGATCCACAGGATCCACAGGATCCACAAAATATGGTCACATGGAGCATGGGAGCACTGGAGTCACATGGTCAGTTTCGGTTGACATGGAGACTCCTGGAGTCACATCGTCCTTCTTGGTTTTCGCTTTGAGGTCACAACTGCTACAACAGCGGGGTCCTTCTATGCCAATTGTGTCTCTGTCTTGATAGTGGTGAAGCAGTTCGGCTTCTTCATGGGTCCCACGGTTGCACTGGGCTTGGCGAGCATTTCTTGCGTTGACGAATTCTCGTTGGCATTGATGGAACCTGGATGGAACCAGTTTTTCTTACTTTGGAAGGTACTCTGGTGGTTTGGAACTACATCAATGTCATGGTGATTCTTCCTGCTGCGCTACTTGTGCTTGAGCAACTTGGAGTCTCAAACGCTCGATTGTTTGCTTGGAAAAAAACATAAGGCATCGATACAAAACAGCATGCTCTATTTTGCAAGCAAGTCTGGTTGGCATGTCCAACAAGGATGTAGTTGACGGCCTTCCGGCTTAGTGTAGGAGACATCACATTGACACCAGTTGTTTTGTAGAGAGCTATAACGCATGGCAACCAGAATCGCCTGCTGAGGTTGTACATTCGGCCATGCATCCAGTGTTGCTTCTTGTGTAGTCGCAAGAACTACTTTTCTGGAGGACCATGGTCAGTTGATGTCAATTGTGTCAAGATTTGAATGCCTAGCATTCGCCTCATTGGGACTCGAGACATCTCAAGATCTTTCACAAAGTGTTTGGGCTCCGCCTCTCACAGAACATGCAGACGTGCAGGACCCGAACGGCAAAGTGATCCAGACATCGAAGACATCAGGCTTGCTGTAATACCAGAGCTGGAAGACTCGGAAGACTCCAAACATCGAGGTTCTGTTGGTTCTGTTGGTTCTGTTGGATGCCAAAAAGAAGATGGAGGTGCCCAGGTCGCATTTGTGGCATGTTGGATTTCAAATGGTTTCCGATTGTCTAGTTGGCAACTTGCTCTGTGTCACCGGGGGATTTTTGGCTTGTTCCGCATGTTGGTCTAATCTGGTCTAGAAGCAAGTACTGTTTTTAATTTACCTGTAATAGCTTTTTTTTTTTAAAAATAGACCTCTATTTCAACAGTTCCAGTACCAGTCATTAAACGTGATGTTTTCTTCTGCTGTTTGAGGTCGAGCATACCGCACCATGCGAAACTCCTGGCGCACAACCGTAACTTCCGCAGTCTCTGGCCAAGCAAGGCAAGGTCATTGTCCATTCAGCTTGATCAGATTGGAGTTCTGTGGGATTTTTACAATTGCTTCCACTGCTGGTTTTTATGTACTTGGCGATCAGCTTGTCATCAGTGATTTTGGCTCTTGGCTAGCAGGACTTCGGCAGTGAAGCGTTTATCCGCAATAGCAGACCGGGTTCAGTCTCAATTGGTGACGAACATGAGGCAGGTGCTTGAACTAGCAGTTGCGGTGATTGAAGACACCTGTTTTTTCACATAATGTATTGACTGTTGATCGGCTCAAAGGACCTTGGCTTCGAGGGCTACGTTTCAGGCCTGTGCTGTTAGATCAGTTAGAGTCACTTGCTCAGACAACTCAGACATGTTGTTTGCTACTGATGAGAAGTTGAGAGGTCGCCATCCATAGGGACCTAGACTTGGAGAAGCTTTCTGGCATCGAGCGCGCCATGCATGATCGCTTCTACCCATTGCTTTTGCATGGGCGTTCTTGCTGGCTGTTTCTGTCTGGAACCAAACTTGGCTGTACATACATGGAAACGTGTTTGGACAGCAATGGATGTCTTATTACAGTGCCAGGCTCTGCTTGTATCTGCATGTTTTCCAAGGTCCCTCGTGCTCAGCGTAGTGGGTGGGTGGCTAGCTGTCTCTGGCTTTACTTTGGCCAAAGGACTCCCTGTGTCGGAATGAGTACTGTGATTCCCGAGCCGGGTTTCCAAGAATGGAGCTACAAGCCTGAACAAAGCCATCTTCCGATTTTTTTCGTTCCCTGAATTTCTCTCTTCCAAAAACGTACTGTCACATATTCTCAAGGTCTTGTAGGGGCAAAAGAGCAAATTTGGTCGTAGATCTCGATGTTAGACATCGCACTGCACACTTGAAGTGGATGAATGAAGTTTTCTAGGTATGCAGATGTGCAGGTCAGCCATCCATGTCACTGAACAAAGTGAGGAGATTTGGAGATTTTTCCAGAGAGTGTCAATGTTGGCCGTTTGGAGCGGCTGCGTAAAGAGGCATTCTCCGGCTTTTCAGTGCTCTCAAAGCATGCTCGCCCAAAAGGAGAAAAACTTGAGGAAATAGTTTAAACTTTGAAGACTTCCACTGAATGCCGAAGAGATATGTTCGAAGTCTGTACAGCAGCCGCAGGTCTTCACGTCTGAGGACCTTATGGAGAGAGATGTGACTTCGACATCAGTTCCAACTGTCCGCGCCACGAACAGTCCAGTTGCTGGAAACATCAGTGTCCAATGCCCAGGCGTTGGTAGCATCTGAACACATTGGGGGGTTGCTGGGGCATAGACAATTTGTGGTGCTGTCTGAAAGGAATCAAGGCCGCTAAGCAGGGGATTTTCAGAATACGCATCCTTGCTAGAAGAATCTTCTTGATACGAGGTGATTGAAGTGCTTTGCCACATGCAATTTGGAAGCGAGAGTGCTGCAATTCCAGCGAAACGTGACCCAACCCGCATGCAGGTATAAACACCTCATGTTCTGGTCATGGTGTCTGCAATTTTGCCACCCGATCTTGCACTTGCAGCAGCCGGTACGTGGGGGCTGGCTGCTCTCTTGAAAGGACTGACATGGAAAAGCCGTGGCGTGTGAAGCATCCTTTAGTGCTCGCCCTTGCAGGAGGAATTCGACTTTCGCAATTCTTCCCCAACAACTTGAAATTCTGAAAGTTCTTGAAGATCCGAGTATGGCAGTTGTGGCAGTGGCCCTCCAGCATTGCTTGACAGATCCAGTTGTCATTTAATCATATGATCGATTTCAGACAGATTTCAAGGCCTGGTATTGAAAGTGAAGAGTCCAAAGCTGCATCGCACATTTTCGCTTGATTTTCACGAGCAAAATGCCAAGGAAGATGGCATCGCAGATGAACAAACAGTTTGGATAGCGAATGATGGGGACAGCTCCTCAGAATCTCCTGTCATACGAACGTTTGATTCGAGTTCCAGTAAAACCATGTGGCCCAGGTTCCAAGGTTTTGAGGCAACTGTGGCAAATGAAGTGTTGTGTTTGCTTTGTTTGCATCCCAAGCCACGAGGATGAATCAGCAACATGGCATGCAAGAGTCCTGCCTGAGAGCAATGAGTGGTTGAAATTGCGTATGACCACTGGCTCTATAGGCCGGCTGAGTTGGATGTGTGGATGACAAAATCTGCAGTGAAATCTTGGACCAAGATAGGAGTGTCAAGAATCCAGTTCCGGCTGGAGATAACTGGTGCAGTGCCTTATCGAGGTCCGAGAAACTTGGATGGAGATGCTCCAATGAGTTCCCAGTCGGCCCTCAGTTTCTGGGTGAATTTTGCTGGGAAATCTTCTGGCTGGACTGCCACTGCAGATATTTTGGTGTTGATTGGCAGCAAAAGTGAGACTTGGCAGTGTGCAGATGATGCATACAATGAAGATTGCCCATCAGATTGAAAGACAAAGAAGTTGGATCAAGCGGACACGATGGACTCATTTGTTTGGGTGATTGTGTCTTGCTTGAATCCCCAGAAATCCAGCTTGCTCTGTACACTTTTTCCATTGCGTCTTTGCTGGGCCAAGGAAATCAGCTTGAAGGCGATGAGTACTGAGTATCGGTTGATCCATGCTTTGTCGATTTTCTCTACATCAACATCCAACAGAAGGATTGAATCTCAACAGGTTGAGAAATCGTTTGCATTGTGATGTGAAATCTGAAGTTTTGCCCGCAGGTGGTTGCAGAAGTTCGCTCCCCCCCTGCCGTATCCATCGCCATCAACCTCCCATGCCCGAACTGCTACATGACACCGCCGTTCAGCCTCTCTAGTGGCTATCCGAATCCCTCCTATGAGGTGCATGTTCCATACAGCGCTACAAATGTTTCTCTTCATTTGCAGCCCCTCTCCAGAGAACAGGCAGGCCTCCAACCTATTTGCGCGTCAAGATTTATCCACATATGTTTGCCATTTTTGGACATCGCCATCCAATTTTCGGCTGCACAGTTTTGATCCAAACCAAATTTTGTGCAGGCAGACGAAAGCATCAGTCAATGACATTTGTCAGACAGCTGTTTTCAGCTATGGGTATGTAAACCCTATGGGCTCTACAACCCTTTTGCCAGGTATGGGTAGATGGAACGTTCTCTGTGAACGATACCATCGTACAGCAGCTGCCAGCCACTGGCGCGACGAATGTCTCGGTCCAAGTTGTAGATCGAACGGCCTCAGCAAACTATTCCCTGGAATTTCGCAGGCGGGGAGACAACATTTTTGTCAATAAAATCAAAATCAATAAACTGATGTGATTCATGACATCCAGGACACATGCAATCTGACAGCGTGGAATAAGATTCAGTGTGCGTGCAGCAGCCTTCGTATGTTTTTGTCTTGGCGGTGTCAGGGAAGAGCCTCAACCAGCTGCTGCCCTTCATTTGCACCGAGCAGTTGCGAAGGATCGTTCAATTGAGGCCCCTTCCTTCTGTGTTGGTGTATTGTACACTGTACAGGGCTCTTTTCGAACACTGTGAGTCAATACATAAATCATCACATTTTTCTGAAGCTAATTTGCCTTGTCTTCGTAGTTTCCAACCTTTGGAATTGCAGCGACTTGAAAGGTGACCTTTGCTCTGCCTGCCGAATTGCCATTCGATTTCGAAGGCGGGATGAATCACCGACGGATCAACAGCTCAACCCCTCCAGTGTTACTTGACAAAACAAATGTGAAGGTATCGCTGCATTTGCGAGCTCTACCGACGGCCTCCTTAGAGTAGATTTTGCTCCAAGACCTTGTGAACCAGCTACTCGCCTGCAAAGGTCCATTCACAATCATTCATAAACATTACATAGATCCATGCTTGCTTTTTACCTCAATCTCGATAGTGGCGATGAGGGCCTGTAGATTTTTCAGCTCTGGACCTTCCCAGTTGACAAGGCAAGCTGCTGGGATTGGAGTGTACTCAATGCCGTGGCTGGATCTTGCTGCTTGATGCGCTTAGTGAACTTGACCAATGGCATGGATTGGACCTTCCAGGCGCTGAATGGTGAGTTTGGCCATTTTTGCACAAGGGACAGAAACACACACACATGCATACACACACACCCACACCCACACACACACATGCTTGCACCCCTACAAACAAGGACCCAATTCTCATCATACTACCACTAGGCTTAAGTCGTATCAATCGACCTGAAGTCGTATCACACCTGCGTGCGCGCAGTGTTTCATATAGATTTTGATAGTTCTTTATTTGATGGGTTATTGATTTGAACACTTTTTCATCGCTGTGCGCAATGTTTTGTTGACATTATTCTATTTGACCCTACTAGCCCTAGCGTTAAGTCGTATCACCTCGTAGAAGTTGTATCGGGAGGCCGTTTTTCCCTTGGAAAAAGTTCAAGTTTGGCATCACCACAACTTTTAGTAATTGGACGATTTCATTGTTTTGGGGCCGTGCGCCTAGAAAAAGTTCAATTTTTTTATTGCGTTGATGTATAAAACTGATATTATATTTCATTATTCTTTCAACGGGGCAAACGCTGGTTGCTGCTTTCTGCTTGCTTTCTGCTTGCTTGCTGCTTGCTTGCTGCTCCTTGCTGCTGCTGCTGTTGCTGCTGCTGTTGCTGCTGCCTCCTGCTGCTGTTGCTGCTGCCTCCTGCTGCTGCTGCGGCTGCGGCTTCCTTCTGCTGTTGCTGCTGCTGCTGCCTCCTGCTGCTGCCTCCTGCTGCTGCCTCCTGCTGCTGCCTGCTGCCTCCTGCTGCTGCTGCTGCTTCCGCCTGCTGCTGCTGCTGCTACTGCTGCCTCCTGCTGCTGCTGCTGCTGCTGCCTCCTGCTGCTGCTGCTGCTTCCTCCTCCTCCTGCTGCTGCTTCCTCCTCCTCCTCCTCCTGCTGCTGCTGCTTCCTCCTGCTGCTGCTGCCGCTGGTGCAAACATTTTGCCGAAAAAGAAAATTACAGTCTCGGTCGCCTTGTTTGGCGCTGGCGGGAGATACGGGCGGGAGACGCCAGCAGAGAGAGGGAATGTTTACAGAAGGCAGAACTTATGAAACATTCAAGCGGAAGCGGATGTTGACAGCGGTGTGCCACTGGGTTTTCAGATTTTAACGTTGTTGATATGATGATGTTGCCCATAGCTATTACATGGAAATCTATGTTTGTTAGGAAACAAAGTTAAAGATCTGGGAGGCCGTGTGCCATGGTGATTCCTAAATATATCCTTTGAAAACATAGTTTAAACATATGTGAATACCTCAGTGTGCGCAATGTTTTCTTCATTTTTGGAGATATAACAACATTCCTTGAAAGCCGGTGTGCCATTGGGATTTTGATATTTTGATGTGACTTTTGCCCAGTTGATGTGACTTTCTTCCAACTCGCTGTTACATGGGGTTGATGTGACTTCTGCCCAACTGATGTGACTTAAACCCTTCGCTAGTATGTGTAGGGACTGCATAGTTTTGGAATGTTTTGGATGTTTAGGGAGTCTGACTCTGCTTTGACTTTTCTGTTCCAGGTGCACATGGTGGCTGCAGGGGTTCCGGGCCTGCCATCTCTGCCAAGTGTGGGGCATTCAGGTCCTAACCTCAGGTGGTTTTGCCACACCTGCTCTGAATGAGCCGCCTGCCTGCAGGTGGCTGGCCACCTCTGAGCGTTAGTGCCATTGCCATGTCACCCAGCTTTCTGTCAGCTCCGAGCGTTGCGCCTTGGATGTGGTTGGATGTGGAGTGGTTTTGTATGTCACTTTTTAAAATTTCTTGCCTCCTCCCAGGGCGACCTGCCATGAGGTGATACATCATGGCTTCGTGGAACTTCTAGTGGTGGAGAGTCAGGTGAATGCTGGAGGAAGCCTTCCGCTTGGCCTTCTCCGCTGTGAAAGCAGCCCCGGAGGACTGCAGAGCAGCGACAACGACTCTTCGTATGTTTCAAGTAGAGGAGAGTGGCGTACGCAAGTACGAGACCTGGACATAAATCTTCAATACAGCTTCACCTGTTCCATTTGCAATTCTGCAGAAGATCCACCAGGTGTAGGCTCTTTTTCTTCCCGCTCCTTGCACAGCGCCCTTGTGCGACCTGTTGTTGAAGCACCTCAATCGCCCGACATCATGTTTCTGGAATGGAGCTTTGACGCTCCAGCACCCACTGTCAGAATCAAAGTGCAAACGCCCTATCCAGAAGAAGTTTGGTGTTTTGCAACGCATGGCAATGACATCCAGATGGAAGGCTACGCTGTGGTTCCCCCAGGCGCGGCCACAGAGCAATTTCAGCAGAAAGCATTTTGGGCTGGTTCCCAGCGCAGAAGTTTAAAACAATTGTTGTTTCAATCAAGGAATCAGCGAAATATATGAAACTCAGGTGTGAACATGGTAACTTTTCATAATCAGTTCATAAGCTGCCAAGCTGGGCTTCAAGGAGAGAAGTCTCACCATTTGGACCTCCTTGTCGTCTTACAGAGCAAGGACCTGCGACTAAGTTTATTATCTAATGACGGCTATGGCAAAGTATGTATAGTATGCACAGATATGCATAGATATGCATAGTATGTAGCTGTATGTATGACTAGCTGACTAGCGTTGGCGTGGAGGATATTTCCTACCTGGGGTCGGCGATGAATGTCACCGTCAGCTGCAAGTCCCAAATTTGTGATGTGGGCCTTGGTGATTCTGGATGCCTCTGGGGGCCTGCGCAAGTAGCCGAATACCGCCGACCCAGTCCACCACTGATAAGCGTAAGTGCAGGCCAGGGAGCAATTGGAGGTTTCTTGATATTTTATCTTGTTTTCTACTGTTTTCTCTTCTTTGTATGGTGGTGGGGCTTCTATTCTTCCAAGAGTTGCTGTTAGACGAGTTTAATCCTTTCATAGGATTTGCATGGATTTGCGAAGCAATGAGAGGCGACAACTCCCTGTGGGTTACAGCCCAATCCGATGAAGTGGGACAGCTCCAGCTGTCATGTGATGCAAGTGGGGGAAGTTCAGCAGCTGCTAGCCACGCTAGCCAGATCATGAAGATCATGAATAAGACTGAGCAATCTGCCTTCAGCACATTGCAATTCGACACTTGCCAGATCTTGCCAGCACTTTTTTCAAATGATTTGCGGTGGAATCTGTGTGGAAAATCAGTGCTCCTGACTTGCTTGTCTTCAGGCGAATTTGGGTGAGGGTGTCTACCTCATCTCCTGCAATGTGCGAAAGATCGGTGAAGCATTTTCACTGGAGAGTTCAACTGCATATCGTGTAGTGGCTCAGCTTTGAACTCAGCTGGGTGGCCCCGCAGCTTTGACACCGAGTCCAAGATGTGATTTTTGATATTTTCGCTTTTGGTGTAGAATAGTCAGAAATAGTCTTAGGGAAGCTGGTCAAAAATGAGAATCTGTCTCGCGCACTCTGTTTCTTTTTGAACTACTATCAGTCCCATTCTCACAATTCGTCACAGGGGTTTGCGAGAGTTCAAAAAGGTTCATGGGTCCCACTATGTCCCGCTTCATGACAGGATTCCCTGGGGCCTTCGGGCCAATTTGAATCCAGTCCTCGACGTCCTCGAGTTCTGGCCGTATCGCCGGTGGGTGAAGGAGCTCTCCAAATTGATTTGGCCCACACTGGGCTCAACGCCTCACAGGAGCAAAGTGTCTGACTCCATGGCGCTTTTTGCATTGATGTTTGATGTGGTTTGATGTTGTTTGATTTGGTTTCGAATGAATTGACCCTTTGTTTTTTTTGGGAAATTGGTCTTGGATTGTTTTGACAGCCTTCCCAGTTTTATGTGGTGTTGATAGGATGTGGTGCACATTTGCCAAGACCTGAGTGACAACTTCTCAGCAATCTCAGCCACTTCTCAAGTCGTTGTGCGTGGACTAGTACCAGGCCCACAGATGGTTGCCAGTATATAAATATAGCATTCATAGGCATTCATGATATGTATCATAGTATGCATCATGATAGGTAGATAGGATATTCATCCATTCGTATGCTGTTTCCTCGCTTGTCCTTGTCGTTACAGGCCGGGGCTACAGCTTCACCTGCGTTTCCTACTTGGATGGCTTCTCTGAGATTTCAGAGGCTTCAATGTCGACTCTGGCGGCGAGAAAGCCTGATGCTCCTTCCATTGTGGCGATTGCCCCAGGAGTAGACAACCAGGGCCAACAGTTTGCGCTGTGAAGTTAAATGACTATCGGCTATCGGTTTTGGTTAGACGGCCAGACAAGTCATATTCTAGACATTAGGATACATTAGGCGCTTTTGTTGCAACTTTCACAGTTTTCCTTCATGGCAGGAGATTCCGAACTTGCAATTTTCTTGTCATTACCGACCTCAATCTCGTCCAGGGGATTCGCTCCACTTACAGGACTTCGGAGAACATCCAGCAATATTCAGTGATCATTTTGTGTGTGTGTGTGACTCATCTTGCCTTGCCTAATCTGCATGAGCAGCATCAGGACTTTTTTGTAGCACATCTGACTTTGACAGCAGTCTTGATCTGGCTGGCGTGGATAATGACACCGCGTTGATGATTCGTTGAGAGCTCAGTTAGCCTGCAAATCATTTGTTTCATAGGAACACACTGTTGGAAGCAAGTAAGCAACCTTCCATGGGGTTGTCAATTTCTCAGTGCGTTTGCACATTCTTGCCCAGATCTGGATGATCTTCTGTAACACTTGCAGGTTTGCCAGGCGTCAATGGCATCCCCCTGGAATTTCACTGTTTCGTCCAGTCTTCCGCGGGGAGAAGCACTTCAGTGCTTGATGTTGCCACGCCTGGTCTGCCAATCGTCGCGAGTGCCTCATTTGCAGAAAGCGATTTGAACATATTTGACCATATTTAAAGCTACTGCATAAAACGAAAGCCACGTTTTTTGACTTTCGGGCAAAGATTCAGCGTGTCAGTTAAAAGCGTTGGAAAACATACCCTTTCTGCAAAGATACCTTGGTGAGGCTATCGCTTCATGAGTACTGTTTTCTCCGAACAGCAGCTGAGACCCTTGGCGAGAGTGGCAGGAATTACGTACCATTTGTGAACTTAGCCTTCAGCTCTTACAATGGAAGTGCTTGGATTTAAGAGTTACACTGCAAGCTGATTTGGGGTCATTCACTTGGAAGGACGCGTGAGTTGACTTTTCAAAAAAGTGGTCACATCACTGCAACTGTCATTCATTCTGGAGCTTTGACTTTTTATTGGCCTTCTGAATGATGTTGCTTGCAGATTGGGGCTTTGCCTCCTGTGGCCGCTTTTTGCCAACAAGGACATCACTTTGCAGATGCGCTGGGGGTGCCGGTTGATTTGTTGACCTTGCATCAGGGGCACCAGCGGCAAGGCCGCAACACCGCCGCAACACTGCTGACACAAGGTTGTGACGCTAGGCGTCAAAATTTCAAGACCAAGGGAACAGTCGATCTTGAAAACATTTTGGCATCACTTTGTAGAATTTCATCCAGTTCGTGCGACCCAACTGTGACCCGTGCCTACGTTTGTCGCTGTCAAACACTGTCCCTTTCATCCCTTCCAAGCCTTGGGGGCGGGGAGAAGCCATTGAATTTGGCTTTTCTGACAGGCAACTCACAACGTTTGAGCAAAAACATGGATTGGACCATGCAGGTGGCCCGGGTTGAGTTCTGACTTTGTGGTTGTAGCAGTTGTAGCTTCACCACGCATGATGAGAGTCAGCTGCATAAAGCCCCAGAGTCGGAACTTGAGCGATTTGTGCCAGGTGGTGGTACCAAGTGATGGTGATCCCATGGTGCACGCGCTGGCACGAAAGATGCGCTCTCTGCCAGTGGGAAACCTAAGGTTGGCTTTGGCCTTCGTATGCCTTCGTCAACATCATCGACCTTCCAGATTTGTCTTGCACCTGTTCTGAGGTTCTATCCAAGTTGTCTACAAGACTGCAGACAACAGTGGAAGCCGTGGGAGTACGTGTGTGGTCATCCAACGACATAGATTCATCCCTCAAAGAGCCCAAGACTTGGTTACAGTACTTGCGGAGTTGTTGTGCGTTTGTCTCTCTTTGTGTCCATTTTTGTCAGGGTCAACCTTTGCTTGTTGCAAGGCTGATGATTTTCGAGATTCCTCAGCAAAGACGCTTTATACAATTGCCATCTCCGCTGAAGAGCGGTCAAGTACATTATGCCCAGGCTTCGAGACAAAGCAAAAGGTCCCAGCAATCCTGAGTCTGACCCTGACCCTGACAGGTAGCATCAAAGCACTTCTGTATTCTGGCCATTCCAACAAGCCCTTTCGCAAGCGTGAAGCTGAACGGGAGCAACAAGTCACACATTTTTGAGATCAGAGCCTTCGTCGCAGTTGAGCCGAATGAAATACCAGGTTTGGTGAAATGCCGCTCTTTGGATTTGTTTAAACAATTTAAACAGCTGGACATGAATATAGTTGGATGAAGATGAAGATTGATCGCAGTAAGGACAAGCATTGCCCTTTGCTGAGAACGTGTCAGTGGATGTTGTTGCAGCGGATGGGCTCATCCGAAGCTACCTGTTGGTAGTGGGAGCTGCTCCTTTGGCATGTAAAGGCTGGTTCTTGCACCCATGGCATCGCTTTTGCGATTTGTCACAATAGAGTGCCACTTGAGGCTCCCAATACTTGTGGCTTCTAGCGATTTCAGATTCATTTTCTTGGAGCTTTGGATAAACGATGATAAGTGTTTTGTTGATCTGCTGAGTTTATATCAACAAAAAACCAGGTGGGCAGCTTTTGGTTCACCCAAAAGTTCAAAGGAGAGCAATGAACATCTACACAATGGATCACAGATACTTTGTGATCGCAGTCCTTTGAGCATGTGCCTGCTCTTCCGGTAGGAAGCTGCGGCAATGGCACCTGCGACGAAGTTGTGGGACAGTGTGTCTGCAATTCCGGTTGGGCAGGCTCAAACTGCGATGAGCATTGTCCAGGGTTTCCGCCCTGTGGCGGGGAAGAGAGGGGTCAATGCGTCGAATTTGCGCAAGACGGAGCTGTTGCTATCGTGGCAAGGAGAGGGTTGGGGTCCAAAGAGCTGCGGCAGAAATATATGGGAAACGTTGGGAACTGAGATGGCACCTTTTTTATGTGGCTTCAGGAGACACTGTGTCTGCGATGATGGATTTGGTGGAGATGATTGTGGTCAGTCCCACTGCCCGAAATGCCTGAATGGCGGTACTTGTGTTGAGGCAGAGACTCGGCGTGAACAGAAAGACTGGCAGCCAAATTTTCATGGGGCCACATTTTGGCAAAGCTGCGTAACACTGCATATGGATTCTATTGATGTGACATTCCATGAATTATTGTAAGCTCTCGCTTACTTGGATGAGGCAGACCTTGCAGATGCCTCAAGCCGCCCAACCTGCCAATGCCCATCAAATTCCAGTTTGCCTGGCAGGTTTTGGCCATACAGAATTCGGATATGTTTACAGTACTCAGTTTACTGAGTTAGTGAAAGAATTGCGTTGTAAAAGGTCAACAGATGTTAACAGAGAAGATGCAAATTGGCCAAATTGGCCAGGTGGTATCTTCTGTGAGAGCTTGCTTTGCCCCGGAAACTGCAGTGGAGCTGGAAGCTGCGATAGCACCAGCGGACGCTGCTCATGCTGGCTTGGAGCCACCACCGACAGCTGCAATGTGACAGAGGCACATGGTTTGTGGATGTATTTTGTATTTGCTGTGCAGCTGGATTTGCGGTACGTGAGCCACAATGTACTTTCGACTGAAGAGAGACAAGGCCCCTCCGGAGCCTTTGACGAATTCTGTGGATGTTCTGCTCGTTTGGGGAGCCTTGGCGGCCTTGGCTTGTCTCTGTGACGTGATGTTCCAAGTTGTGGAGTTGTGGCTCCTTTTTGTGGTGGACCAAGGAATCAAAGGTCCCAGAGCTGATAACAAGTCGCTCCCGGAATTTGATGCCAACTTTGACTTCTTCCAGCCTCAGGCACGACCACAACCTCGGATCAATGATAAGGAGATTTCAGAGATTTTCGTACTCTAGGGACTTCAGATGTTCACCTTTCAAATTGCCAAGCAGTCAGCAGTTGAGGTAATGGAAATTTGTCGCTGCATTTTGCAGGTCCAGTCCTGGATTTTGGATGTGTGTCACATGGCCAAAAACAAGACTGACAATCTTCTGGTCAGAACAGATGCAACTCGACAGCGATCATTTCTCTCTGTCAAAATTCAATTAGGACCAGGGAAGTACTGTAACATTTTTTTGATCATTTTCATAGAGTTTTAAAGATGATCTATATAACTAGACTATGACTATAACTATAACCATCAAATGATCATCCCATGTTTTGACAGCACTCAATCTGGAGATATCTGGAGTCAAACCCAGCTGTCCAGGTAAGAGAACCCCCGAGGCCCCAGGATGCCATCAGTTGCCAAGGTGCCATGCTGGATTGAGTCTTGGAGAGACTACATTGAGGCCGTCGGTGGAAGTTTTCCCATCGCCCAAAGGACATCCGGCTCCAACCCGAAACAGATTGAGTTTTGCAGTGTATAGAAGATCTTGAGAGGTGTATGCGGATGTAGTTTGCATCATCGCGGTTATGTCACAACCCAGGCTGCAAAAGGCCCCATGAAATTGGACAGGCTTGGAGTGAACGATTTCTCACAGCAGGAATTTGGCTTCGCAAGCGCTGCAAGCTTTTTTTCATCAAGATGCCGCAGATCATTTCCAAGAAGATCTTGGCATGACGGAAGACAATTTTGCAGGACTATGGATTTGATCACTCATGGCCAGCCGAACAGGTGATTCTATTCAAACAATGCCCCATTTAGGAGAGAGATGTACGTGGGCAGATAGATATGATATATTGTAGCGCTTCGCACACCAGCGATGCCACGCAGGTGCAGAGCACAGTGTGATGTTCTTGTCATACCGCAGCTTGTAACCATCTTACCACACATCCTTTTGTCGCATTTGTGTGCTTGTTCTTCTTCTTCTTCTTCTTCTTCTGCTTCTTGTTCTTGTTCTTCTTCTTCTTGTTGTTGTTGTTGTTGTGGTTGTTGTTGTTGTTGTCGTTGTTGTTGTTGTTGTGGTTGTTGTGGTTGTTGTTGTTGTTGTTGTTGTCGTTGTTGTCGTTGTCGTTGTTGTTGTTGTTGTTGTGGTTGTGGTTGTTGTGGTTGTTGTTGTTGTTGTGGTTGTTGTTGTTGTTGTTGTTGTTGTTGTTGTTGTTGTTGTTGTTGTTGTTGTTGTTGTTGTTGTTGGTTGTTGGTTGTTGGTTGTTGGTTGTTGGTTGTTGGTTGTTGTTGTTGTTGTATGTTGTTGTTGTTGTTGTTGTTGTTGTTGTTGTTTGTGGTTGTGGTTGTGGTTGTGGTTGTGGTTGTGGTTGTTGTGGTGGTGGTGGTGGTGGTGGTGGTGGTGGTTGTGGTTGTTGGTTGTTGGTTGTTGGTTGTTGGTTGCTGGTTGTTG